ACCCGCGTACGGACCCCCCAAAATTTTTCCCGCACAAATTCATAACTCGGGGATCTGAGAAGCTAGAAGGCTAAAATCTTAGGGTAATGTTCCCATCCAAGCGGTATTACTGGGCTCCAACCCAGCCCCCGGGTAAGCGTGGTACCCGTGTACGAGCCCGCCAAAATTTTTTTCCGGTAATTCTATAACTCGAGGATCTGAGGAGCTAAAGGAATGTAATTTTAAGAAGATATACGCCGTCCGCCTAAGTTTCATTCAGCTCGAACCCAGCTCTCGGGCATGCTTGGTAAACATGCATGGGCCCGTGAAAATTCTGTTCCATTAAGTTGCTAACTCAGGGGCCACGGAAGCTAGAAAGCAGAAATTTTAGGGGATGTTCCTGACAGTTCTGGCGGCAGTTTAGTTTGTTTAGCTAGAAGCATTCGCCGAAAAAACCGGTGCCGCTAGCAACAAAAACTGCGGGGAACCACGCAAAAAACTCATCTTCGCACGGGCAGCCCGTGCGTTGGCCAATTTTTCATCTCGAGACCGGCAAAAGCTACGGGGCTGAAACTTTGGGACTTAATCTAAATGCACGTACGGGCCTCTATCCCCAAAATGAGCGGTCTTTCCCGCGTGGTACCCATGTAAGGCCCGCCAAAGTTTTTTACGGGTAAGCTGCTAACTCGCGAACCAGAAAAGCTAGGGAGCTGAAATTTTATGGGAATGTTCCCCGTCCAAGTAGGTGCTAATGAGCTCAAATCCAGCTTCCGGATAAGCGTGGTACCCGCGTACGAGTCCCCCCTCCCCTAAAATTTTTCCGCGTAGACTCACAACTCGGGATTCTGAGATGCTAGAAAGCTGAAATTTTAGGGGAATGTTCCCCGCCCAAGCAGGTGCTAATGAGCTGAAATCCAGCCCCCGGGTAAGCGTGGTACCTACGTATAGGCTCGTGAAAAGTTCCTTCCGGGTAAGTTACTCGAGAACGTGAGGAGCTAGAAGACTGGAATTTTGAGGGGATGTTTCCTGACAATTTTGGCGGCCAGTCTGAAATTCTTTCAGCTAGAAATGCCCCGATTTTACACGAAAACATCAGGTTACAGGTAACATGCCCTCACCTGTACCTGGTAGCGGGTCGCATTTAC